TTATTATTATTATTATTATTATTATTATTATTATTATTATTATTATTGGAAACTGAAGGCATGAGCTCACTTTTTAAATCACTTTGCCAGTTCTGCTCTACTCATGGGTCCCCATTCCCCTCACAAAGTATCGCTGCTGTTACTATTTTACCTATAATGTCCATCACACACCCTGAAATTTTCCTATACGCTCAGTAACGGGAGCTTGGGGCGTATCCTTTTTATTCCCCCCCCCCCCCCCGTCTCTTTTATCAGCTGATGTTTCTTCCTCGCTCGCTCTCTTTCTCCCTCATCCACACATGCGCGTGTGAATGCCGATAGGGCTCGGGCTTTTTAAAATCAAGAGCAGCAGGGTGGGGGCGGGCGGGGGCGGAGAGGGGAAAACAGAAGGTGGATCGAGTTAGGGGAGAAATCTCCTACCTTTCCTCGATCACCCCCCCACCCGTTTCCGGGTCTGAATTTCGGCGAAACTCGAAACCCGATGCCCGCAGTGACCGCTCCCCGCCGCCGCCTCTGATTTCCTTGTCCCGTTTATGGGTAGGTGGAAAACAAGGAAGGGACTCGCAAACAAACTGAAAAGCATTGTGGGGATATTCACACAGGTTGGGCCCGTTTTCATTGCCAAAGCCAGCAGAGGGCAATGCTTCACCAACTTTACGCAGCCCTTATATTTGCGATCGATTGCTACATTGGGCCCGCTTCCCAAAGCAAATGGAGAAAGGGTTAGGGACCTTTTAGGCAGATATACATACGTGCCTTCTGCCCTGAGAGCGATTTGGTTATTATTTATTTGGTTTTTTTTTTAATCTCGCCTTCATTGCTTTATAAGTAACTCAAGGTGGCAAGCATACTTCATTCTCCTTCTGTTTTCCCCACAACAACTCTTTGCCCAAAGTCACCTGGCTGGTTTTCATGTTTAAGGTGGGACTAGAACTCACTGTCATTGATTGACTGACTGAGATTGATTGATTTGACTGATTGATTCATTCATTCATTCTAGTATGCGCCATCAAATCACTGTCAACTCTTACATAGATTCCCTGTCGCTAACCTGTTCTTTCAAGTCTCTCACAAGGGTGCACCCATAACGGACTTCCAACACTTTGTTGCTGGGTGTCTTCTTCTCCTCTTCCCTCACCTTTCCCAGCCTCTTTTCCCAGAGAGCTGAATCTTTGCATAATATATTCAAAACAGGATGATCATCTGGGACTCCGAGTGAAAATTCTGGGTTGATTGATTGTATAATCTGATTGTTTTCTTAGCTGTCCTTGTTATTCTCAGGAGTCTTCTCCAACACCAAAGTTCAAAAGCATCAATGCTCTTCCTATCCTGCTAAAAAACCGCACCAGCTCTTTTCTCCTTCCCTACCAAATTTTTGATCTGGGCATTATAATAGTTGCCTTATAATAGTTGCAAAAATAGGCTGTTGGCTGCCCGTTGGGCTCTGCTAAAATAATTACCCAGAACTTCTCACTCAGGCTGAATTTGAGTTGGGATCTAATCTTATCCCAAAGGACATGACGACAATTTTAAAAAGAAAACTTCCTCAAATGATAGGCTTACGTGGCCTTTCTTCACCACTGAGTCATTTCTCACACTTTGCCCATTAAGGAGAAAGGTTTGAGAAACAGGAATGGAGTTCCCAGACTGTTGTAGGACTCGGCTCCACCTTCTTTCAAAGAAATCCATGTAGTGTAGGTAGTCCTTGACGTACAACAGTTCATTTAGGGACCGTTCAAAGTTACAACGGCACTGAATAAAGTGACTTATGATCATGTTTCACAGTTACAACCTTTGCAGCATCCCCATGGTCACATGATCAAAATTCAGACACTTGGCAGCTGGTTCATATTTATGATGATCCCAGGGTCACGTGATCTCTGTTTGCGACCTTCTGACAAGGCAAGTCAATGGGGAAGCCAGATTCACTTAACAACTGATTTACTGACCTAACAGCTTTAGTGATTCACTTGACAATTGTGGCAAGAAATGTGGTAAAATAGGATAAAACTCACTTAATAAATGTCTCACTTAATAACATAAATTTTGGACTCAGTTTTGATCATAAGTCGAGTGTGTGTAAGTGTGATGCACAGAAAAAACAGACAGGGCTTTGATGCACCATTGTAGCTTTTTTTGACCTTATTTTGTGGACACCCCTGTATCACCATTTTCCATGAGTTTCCCAAAAGTCAAATCTAAATAAAAATATTCCCCAATTAATTCTCTTCCTCTTTTTGTTTCATACAAAGGATTTATTCTTTTCACATAGTGGTTTGAGGCTAGGAAAGGAAGTATGATCAGAAAGAAATGAGGAGAACCGAAATAAACTGGACACATAAGATAAAATAACAATTTTGATTAGAGTTTACGGATCACAAACATAAAAGACTAATACAAACAAAGATAGATATGAAACGTAAACAAGAGGAAAAGAAAAATGTGAAGAGATAGAGTAAAAGAAAATAAAAAGTAAGAAACAAAAATACATAAATGATGACACCCCATTTCCTCTGGGCAATAAACAACTTCAGTAATTTAACACTTTCTCTAATATTTCAATTTTAAAAACACACCTGCTTTCCATATCTCATCCCTTATCAACAATCACATTATAGCAATAGCACTTAGACTTATATACCACTCCATGGTACTTTACAGCACTCTCTGAGCAGTTTACAAATATCAGCATATTGCCCCCAACAATCTGGGTCCTCATTTTACCGACCATGGAAGGATGGCAGCTTCAATCTTGAGCCAGTCAGGATTGAAGTTCTGGCTATGGGCAGAGTTACCTTGCAATACTGCATTCAAACCACTACACCATTATTATTCTTTTATAATAAAAATTCATCATTTTGAGGGAAGGCGGGGCTGGCGTCACGGTATGACGTGTGATCTTGAAGGTTCAAGATCGCCGTCAATATCTTTGCCACTGGACGGTCCTTTTGGACCTAAACTGTCTCGTAGAGTTGGTGATAGAGAAGGGCACATCCTGCTGATCCCAGGGACACTGCAAAGTCCCTGGTTGATCCAGGAGAAGCCCTTTTTTCCGGCGGCAGAGAAGCAGCCATTGAAGTTGCTAAAGCTGGGACAGCTCCGAACAGAAGAAGAAAGTGGAAAGAGAAAGTGTTTGGTGAGATGACTTTTAAATACTTCTATTTGAGAGAACACGTTGAGAGGAAAAAAGAAAAAGTTTAAATTGAAGACAGAAGAGAGTAAACAGCGAGATTAAGCCTGAAGTCAAAACTAGTGTTATTTATTTTTTTTATAGCTGGACTTTTTACAAACACCTTTTAACTTTAAAACTGGACTGTTTTTGTTTTTTTTTGCTTTAATAATTACTTAACAATCCTTTTAAGTGAAAGATATTTTCTTTCTTCTTCTTTTAAGTGCTTAACTGTATAGTTTTCAATTAATGTTTACTTGTTAAAATACTTCTAACCTTTTTTTCTTTTTGTTTTGGATGGAAGTGGGGAAGTGAAAGTAAAGGATAATAAGCAACACTGCCATCTAGAAGCTGGGAAACACTATTTTCTTTCTCTCCTTTTTGAGGATAACTTTGAGAATAATAAGAGCTGGGGTTTTTTATTTCAAGGACTTTGAACCTGTTTGTTATAAGATAGTGGGATAAGCATGGAAGAACATTCTTCAAAAAGCACTTTCTTTGATAGAAAGTCAGCCTTTCTTGTACTCTTTCTTTACCTCCCCTCCCCCAGCTAATTTTGTTCAGCTGTCATCTGTAATTGTGGCCTTTTGGATGGAAATTTCTTTTTATTTATTTATTCTTTTTCAAGGGGAAATAGATTTTTCTTCTTCTTTCCCTTAAATTGATTCTTTTTCTTCCTTTCTCTTTTGTAAATTATAAGTTTTTTTTTTTGATTATGATTGCCCTTTTTACTTTTGATTTTTACTTCTTCCTTCTTTCTCTTTTTTGAAGTGCTTTTTGAAGAATGTGCATTTCCTTTTTTCTTTTTATAGTGTTTATGTTTTTTTTTTACTTCCTTCTAATTGGGAAACATAATTTTTACCTGTGTCTCTTTTTTTTCTATTTTGGAGATTGTTCATGGTGTTGTCTGGTCCATTCTACCCCAATCAATTGGATTAAGGTATAGAAGAACCTGAAGAATTTTATTCTTATCTCTTTTATTGTGATTGAGCTGTTAATTTTTTTTCTTTTCCTTTTTGGCTTTTTTCTAATTAACTAGAACTAATTGGATTAGGGTGTACAAGAACCTGAAGAATTTTTCTTTCTCTTTTCTTTTTCTTTATTTTACTGCTATTTGGGATTATATTTGCCTTACATATGAATGGATTAAGGTGTAGAAGAACCTGAAGATTTTGTATCGCCCGAGATTCTACAACTATTGTGAAATGAGTAGAAAGATAAGAACTACCGGCTCTCCAATACCAACTTCTTCTTCACCATCTAGAGGACAATGATCAATACAGGCGATGTTATAACAGGAAAAGGAATGAGAAAAAGACAAGGAGGTGACTTTGCAGATGATCTGGCAAGGAATTCAAAAAATAGAATCAAGAATTGAAACAATTGAACAGAAAACAGAAAAAACAAATGAAAAGGTTGAGAATATTCAACAAATGAGGACAAAATATGAAGACAGATTTCAAAAAATCAAAGAAAAAATGAACAAAGAGATAAGAAAATTGGACATATTGACAACAGATTGAGCATGGTTGAACAAGACAAGAGTGGAATGTTGGGATGGGAGATTGACAGATCAGAATTTTATCTCAGATTTCAAAATATAGAGGAAGAAAGGGGAGAAATGATGTTTTACAGGTGGCACTTACCCCCGACGAGAATAGCAAGAATGTTTAAGAATAAATCCAAAAAGTGGTGGAAATGTCATCAGATACCAGGCTCATTTTACCATATGTGGTAGACATGTGTAGAGGCGAAAAGATATTGGACTAAAATCCACACATGGTTGGAAAAAATGACAAAAAGACGTACTGACTTTAAACCAGAAATATTTTTATTGGGTATCTTACCAGAAATATATAGTAGAGAATTGAAATATTTGATTGTAAATGTATTAACAGTGGCTAGAATTGTATTTGCTAAAAACTGGAAAAATGAAAAAATACCAACGCAGGAGGAAGTTATTAAGAAAATAATGGAGTATGCTGAAATGAGTAAATTGACATTTGAAATTAGAGAACAAGAAGACAACAATATCATAAGATATGGGATTTATTTTATCAATGGTTGGACAAAAAATATGGAAATGAAATATTTTAAAATCTTCATAATACAAGGATAATAGAACTATAGTGAATATAGCATAAGGAGATATTACTATTACTATTAGATTGATTTACGATGATGTAATGAATGCTATAATAAGTATAAAGTCAAAATGTTGTATTTCTCGCATAAAATGAAAGAATAATAGTTATAGTCAAAAATAATGATTAATAATGATAAATAACATATATATTTTCATATATTTTCTTAAGTTTTCGTGGATACTTACATGTATGGTATTCAGCTTTGTTCAGGTATTTTCCCACGTCATTATAGTTGTGCTTTTAAGTTGTAGCAAAGTTTC